TGTTAGAAAACTTGTTTTACCAATCTAATTGCTTTTGAAGTTCCTTTTGCTAGGAAATATGTTCTTGGAGACTAAAGTACCGAACAAAATTTTCATGCATTAAAACCTTTGCCTTGACAAAGCATGATCACAGTTCATGGATCTCACACAAAACACACTAAGAACAATTTATATGAAGTTTTTATTTGGATTCAGGGATTTAAATCAAAGTAGAGAAATTTTAAAGAATTAAATATCTCATAATTATAAGGTGGAAACCCCTTATTTTACCTGTAATTATTGGGAAATCCAGAAAAGTTGTGAGTAATTGATAGAATTCTCATATGAACGGAAATTCACGTTATTTTTGTTGAGTTCTTCAATGAAGTAGAAAGAAAATTCTGTGCAATAAAAAGAGCAAAAAATGAGAAAATTCATAGAAATAAATGGTCAAGGTGGATCGATTAATGTTGCAGTAGAGCTTTGATTGTAGAATAGAAAAAAGAGCTTGATCAATCAAACAAGAGTGTGAAGCTTGAAATCATCCTTAAAGAAGCAGGTCAAATCGAGGGGAAGTTTTGGCATTTGATTTGTGAAGGAGTCGACTAGTGTCAGAACCCGTGATGACCTTTTTGGTTGCCGTGGGGCAAACATGAAAAATTTACTAATGAACCCTACTTATTGTCTTCTAGTTATGCAGGTTTTTTAATGTTAACCATTACATAGAGCGCATTGTAATATTTTATAACACGGAAGCAAATTATAATTCTTACTTGTCAATACATCTATAGAGCTACTAAAACAATTTCATGATCATCAAAATTCATTTAAATTATAAATGAACATGCGTGCCAAAACTCTATCATACAACAAAGTTATACACAAAAATTGTACACCCCAAAATACCAAACTCGCTTCTTACTCAGGTTTTATCTTGTCCATTCCTTTATCTGAAATATTTAGCATAATAGGGTTGAAGTAAAACTTAGTAAGATGAATAATTTAAGGACAATAAGTAATTAACATGCAATTTTTTTAGGTTTATATGTCTCATAAGTTCCGGATAGTCTTCGTATAAGGAATCTCTAAATTAATACTTGATTTCTTTGTAAGCAAAATCTCTAATTAAAATGACTTTAGAGAAACATTAGAATTCAGTATAGATCTCAATTGTCTATCATTAGTAACTTCTAAGGAAATTTCTTTTGTTATTTACATTTATTATATATAATTCATGCTGTAAGCTTTAGAATGGATCCCGCATATGGAAGCTGTGATGAGGTCCCACTGGCCTACCCACGAGCCTGCCTTTTTAGCCCTTGTGCAGGTGAAATAACATTTCTTACCAGAAGGATCCTTTAGCCTCCCTCTGGCACGCCTTTATCACGTGGCTTGTACAATTTATTATCTTACCATTTTATCCACACACATGATTTTTCTGAATCTACTTTCATGATATTTCATTCTTCGATAAATATTTCAATGTATACATTGCATTTTTATTTTACGACATAAATGTGCATTTTTAAAGTAAAACATACATTCCCATTTTCACCAAAGCTAAAAATAGATGGCAGTTTTTTTATCATAACTAGGGTAGGTAGTGTCATAAATGTGCAATAAATGCATCTCTATAAATTATATTTTCTTATCTCGCCTGAGGGTGTCGACGATCTTTTCTTAGGCAGTTGCCTCATAAATACCCAGATGCTTCCTTCATTTATGCACAACCTAAGTAATTGATTTTTCGTCTTAAAATATGTTTCTCCTTTCTGACTCAAATAAATCTTCAATCTCTTCTCAAAATAATTTTTTTACCTCAAATTGATCCTTCATACAAATCCCATGTTCCCTCAACTCCTACTCATGATTATTTCAACAAGCAGAATTATGAAAAAGAAGGAATTTTTACCTTAGAACCCAGCTTTTCCCTCAATTTCCTCTCCTTTCCCTTTGCTCGTCTTGTTCCCCCTCATCGCTTGCTGCTCCAGGCTGAGTGCTCCCAGATGTAGAAAACATGAATATGGGGTTCAATTTGGTAGGAAATGAGATAAAAGAAATTTTCCAAATGTAATTATCTAACTATCTTTAATATTAACACCACTAATTCAATTACCATTGTTCTGTTTTTTGGTGGATTTACAAATTAAAAGCCCCTGTCATAGTACATTAAGGGTATGAACATTACATTTTAATTCTTAAAAATTTTTTATATAAAATTCATTTAATTTATATATATATTTATATACTAAAAAAAGTGTATATATAATATGTAAAATTTGTTTGGATTTTATAAGATTACAACAACAACAAAACAAGCCTTTATCTCACTATGTGGGGTCGGCTACATGAATCCTTTTTTCTCCATTGTATCATGTTAAGAGTCAAATTATCATCTAAATCTAATAAAGAAAGGTCATTTCTAATATTTTCTAACCAAGTTTTTTTAGGTCTACCACTACCTTTCTTGACACAAGTCAAATCTAATTCATTTACTTTCCTAACCGTCACCAGAAGGCAGTTGTTTTATGTGTCCAAACCATCTAAGGAGACTCTCTCTAATCTTATCTACCACTGGAGCTACTCCAACTTTTTCATGTATATGCACATTTCGTATCCTATCTCTAAGAGTAAAGCTACTCATCCACCTAAGCATCCTCATCTCTGCAACACTTAACTTAATATTATGCTTTTCTTTTAATGGCCAACATTTTGCACCATAAAGCATTGCAGGTCTCACTACCATCTTATAGAATTTTCCCTTAAGTTTGAGGCGGACTTTTCTATCACACAGCAAGCCCGATGCATTCTTCCACTTCAACCATCCTACTTGAATTCTACTAATAATATTTCCATCTATTTCACCATCACTCTGAACAATTGACCCAAGATATCTAAAACGTGTACTCTTATTAATGACTTGATCACCCTAAGTCACAATTCCCCACTAGATCTATTATTATTAAAATTTCACTCAATATATTCAATTTTAGATCTACTCAAACGAAAGCCTTTAGACTCTAAGGTTGACCTCCATAATTCAAGTTTTCCTTCAACTCCTTCTATAGTCTTATCAATAAGAAGAATATCATCAGCAAAAAGCATACACCATGGTACAACCTCTTGCAAATGTTTTATGAGAATATACATGACTAAAGCAGTGGGCTTAAGGCTAATCCTTGGTGTAATCCAACTGAAATAGGAAAATACTTGGTCAAACCATCTTATGTTTGAACACAAGTTACATCTCTTGCATACATATCCTTAATGACTTGAATATAAGCATTATTAACGCCTTTCTTATGTAGAACACTCCATAGCACTTCTCTTAGAACTTTATGATAAGCTTTCTCTAAATCAATAAAAATCATATGTATATCCTCCTTATTCTCTCTATACTTCACCATCAAACCTCTCAATAAATGTATAGCTTCCATAGTAGACCTACTTTGCATGAATCCAAATTGATTTTGAGAAACATTAGTGTTAACACCACAACCTATGCTCTTTAACTCTCTCACATAGTTTTAAAGTGACACATTAACTTAATTTCTCTATAATTTGTACAATCTTGTGCATAACATCTATTCTTAAAAATAAGAATCAACACACTGATTCTCCACTTATCTGACATCTTTTTAGTCTTCAAAATAATGTTAAAAAGTTTACTAAGCAAGAAATTCTTTCATCTCCTAAGCATTTCCACACCTCTATTGGAATATCATCAGGTCCAACAGCTTTTCCACACTTCATTTTTTTTAAAGCCTATTTAACTTCGGTTTTATAAATTCGCCAATAAAAATAAAATCTTCATTTTCATTTAGGGTGCTAATGTCACTAAATTCAATCGCATTCTCACAATCTTCATTGAAAAGTTTAGCAAAATATCTCATCCACCTTTGTTGAATATCCTCTTCTAATAAAAGTACCTTTTGATGTTCATCCTTTATACATTTTATTTGAACTAAATCCTTACTACTCCTATCTCTTTGTTTAGCTAACATATATATATATCATTAAAAGCTAAAATCTTTGCATCACATATTGCTTTCTTAGATTCCTTACTGTCCTCTTTATATCTTTCCCAATTATCAAAATTTTTGCAGCCAAACCAATTTTTATGACAAATCTTCTTATTTTTTTTAATCTTTTTTTTACACATTTTGATTCTACCATCAATTATTTTAACTATTAATAGCTTTTTCCTTTGATATTCCAATCACATCTTTTGTAACATTCTTAATATCATTTGCTACTTTTTCCCATATAACATTAGGTTCCTCATGCACAAAAAAATCTTAAGATCTAGAATCTTACTCTCAAAAATATATTTTTTAATATTTGTTTTAATGCCCCCATCTAATCCCAGAACAACAATTTTTATGATTTTACAAGATTATTATTTATAAATTCTAAGGTGAGCGAAAATGGGGTATATCACAATTGTGACTTCTACCTCTTAAATTGTTGAATATTACATTTTGGGACAAAATCCACTTGTTGGAGTGGGAGACTGATACTCTCTCGAGAAGGAGAAAGTTGCCCAATGGAGTGAGAGATTACCATTTGCAAAGCGGGTCGATTTAAGGGACAAGATCTTGCTTTCGACAATTGAGGAGTTTGTGCTTGAAACTCATATGACTTTGAAGTTACTTTCTGGAGAAGAGAATGTCACATGCTGGAGAAGAGAATGCTGCTTGCTGGAGATTGTGAAGGTGAATGAGAAAAGCTGGCGCTCTTTTGAAGAACCCTTGATTTGGTACATTTAACTTCATAAATACCATGTAATATTTGAAAATAACAGGAAGTGGTCTCTTTGACCTGATTCCAAAGGAAGGCATCTAAACAATTAATAAAAATTCTAAATTTCTTTTATTTAAGCAAAAGCAGTCAAAACATATGATCTAAACGAAGCGTTAGTCTATTTGGAAGCTGTGATTTTTGATATCCTTGTGCCCTTAATGTTGTTCATTTTGATGGATTTCCTTTTAATTAAAATTTTCTAAATGGCTTACTTTCAGCAGGAAAAAAGCCTCGGGATCTGCTCAATCCCAAAGCAGTCAAGTACATGCAGTCAATTTTTGCTATTAAGGATACTATTGGCAAGAAAGAAACCCGTGAGATTAGTGCTCTTTGTGGAGTTACAGTCACGCAGGTTTGGCCTTTGCATGCTGTTGTTTCTAGAGTCTGCTTTTGTTTTTCTTACAACGTACACCATTTTTTGGGATTTTTCCTCGGAATTGGGTTACATTTTTATTGAAAATACTTTATTATCTTTTATGTCAGCTAATAATTATGTTTCTTGATTTCTTCCTACAGTTCATGCTGTCTTTTGTCTGTTTTGTTCTCTCCACTTTTTTAGCTGCATGATTCTGGCTAGCTATTTAGACCACATTCTTACCTTTATACAACTTATATTGTTACTACTATGCTGTGTAAGACTCAGCTTGGTTTCAATTATGATTTAATAGATTAAATTTGTATTCTTTTATCCATCGAATTGTATTTTTTAACTGTAAAGTTTATAAACGGGCACTTTGATATCTATGCAATTTTGTGCAGGTAAGGGATTTTTTTTCCGGGCAACGATCAAAAGTTAGAAAGCTTGTTAGTCTTGTGAGGGAAAAGGCTGCTAAATCAGATGCAGCTAATGAGAGATGCTCTACGAATCCCGAGGAAACCCTTTTATATCACATTGATGCACCTTCGAGTGCTGTTGATGTCAAGAATGTTGGGGACTTGGCAGAAGTTCCAGATAGCAATGGTAATTTACTTGCCATTCAGTATTATCAAAATGTTCCTGTGAGCTCCATTGATTCTAAACCCATTCAAGTGGTAGTCCCTTCATCCTCATCACAGGAGGAAAGTATACCTGGTATTTATGAGGATGATAAAAAGTTTCTAGAGAATATTTTCAACTTAATGAGGAAGGAAGGGACATTTGCTGGACAGGTGAAATTGATGGAATGGATTCTTCAAATCCACAATTCAGCAGTATTAGTTTGGTACTTGACTTTGACTTTGATGAATTTCTATTTGCTGTCCTTAGAAAATTGATCGTTGGCCTGATTATTGTACTCATGATTAGGTTTTTAACTAAAGGTAGCATCACGATTTTAGCTACATGGCTGAGTCAAGCAGCAATTGAAGAACAGACAACTTTGCTTAATGTCATTCTTAAGGTCACCATCTTAATTTCTCATAGGTGTCATTCTCTGTTCATATTGAGGCAATTCTTAATGACATTACTAGGTATTGTCAGGTTCTTTGTCATCTACCACTACATAAGGCTCTTCCAGCACAAATGTCTAGTATATTGCAGACAGTCAACAAGCTTCGGTTTTACAGGACACCAGGTTTGTACTTATTTATGCTATATTTTCATTAACATTCAGAGAAGCTGATATTGCTTATTGTTAAATTCTGAACATACGAGAGTTTCAGTATTACTGGTTTGATTCCAATCTTACTTAATAAACCAACACATTGCCCTCTTTGTTCTATTTTGCTACCTTTATTCCCTTGTTTAAGGATATGAATTGAACTCTCCTCTCTGATCAATTGAAGATTGGTATGGATTCTTTCATACTCTTTTGTCGCTCATTGTTTACTACCATGTAGCTTGTCTTGATACTATGGATGTTATTGATACGGATATCCGACGGTGGATGTTAATCAAAGGAAAAGACGAAGATCGACGGCTGATATCTCTCTATTTTTATCTTATTTTATTAATTGTATTTTTTTTTTAAATTATTCATTTTTCATTTTTACCCTTAAGGGTCTTGTCTTATGTAAGACCAAGGGGCAAAGTTGTCTTTTAGTTTCTTTTAAGGCCTATATATAGAGGCCCTTTTCCTTGTATTAGACAATGATGGATTATTAATAAAAAAAATTTTGCATTCTTGTTCTTTGGGAAGAACTTTGGTGAGATTCCTATGTGAGGGAAGTGTAGTATCCACCATCCACAGGATGTGTCTGGGATCGTGGTTTGAACTCCCTAGGTGAGGGCACCGTAATACCCATCAACCGCAAGATGTGTCCGTGCTCATGGTTTTATCTTTCTTTCCCTACACTTCCTTTCTTCCTTCTCTAATTCCCCTTCTTCTTTCTTCTAGCCACCGCCCTAACCCCCTCTTTTTCCCCTAGCCAATTCTCCGTTAACCGCCGGCCAAACCCTCCATAGCTGCCGGCCAAGCCTTCCCACTTCCCCTCCTTCCACCACCATCGGCCCCTTCCTCCTTTCTCCTTGAACCGCCAGTTTTCACAACCTTTCCATCACCCTAACCGAGAACCCACCACCACTCCCAAGCCCAACTGACCACCTCTTTCTTCATTGTCTCCACAAATTTAGTTTTGCATTCAAAGCCCTTCCTTTTTTAGCCCTCTTAATTTGGCAATGAATTCGAATTCAAAATTCAAATCAAATTGAATTTGAATTTATTTTCTAATTAAGGATTCTTATTTTAGGAAAGTAAGTCTTTTCTATTCTAGCACCTTTAATTTAGTAACAAATTTGAATTCAAAATTCAAATTGATTTTAATTTGGATTTGTTTCCTAAATAAGAATCCCTATTCTAGGAAAGTTACTTAAATTAGATCTAATTTAATTTCTAATTGGATTTGATTTAAATTAATTTTCCTAATTAGTAAATCTCTTTTAGGAAACCCTCCAAATCTCTCAAATCTGAAATTAAAATCTGATTTAATTCCCTATTCACATTTATTGCTTGGTTCCACATACATTGTATCTGGACACTTCTTCTCCCTCTCCATATGGCCGGCCCCCTCTCTCCTCTATCCCCTTCTATCTAATTAATGCCCCTCCATTAAAGCTCTTAATTAAATCCAATCTCCTCCCATAAATCAGCCGCCCCCTCCTTTATTTTCTTTAGTTATCCAAAGGTTTGAAATTCAAAACTCTCTCCTAATTCTTAACCCATTAAATCTGAAATAAATTTCATATTTACAATCCTAACCCTCTACTTACCAAACCTAAAATCAAAAACATAATTTCTTCCCATCTCCTTACCCTAGTCGGCCCATCTCCTCTCCTCTCCTCTCTCCATTTGTTTACTCTTCCAAATCCCGTCCCGTTGCTGTAAACAAAATTTCCCTTTCCCTATAGCTTCCTTACTATCCAGAAAATTCTGGGTGCTGTAGTTCCTTGTTTCTCCTTCCAAAACCTTGGATATTGCTGCCCCAGTCATCCTACGAGTTGTCCCAAGGTTCCAGTTGCAGTTTGTTGCTATCCAGCCTTCCTAAGAGCCACAAATTGTTGTATAGAGGCTCTGATATGCCATAAAATAGTCTTTCCTCATGTATGGCGGACCCAGAGCTTGACCACGGATTCTTCTACGATCCCAAGGTTTGAATAACATTCTATAATATCCATTCTTCGATCTCAACCTAGAAGTTGATGACACCGTCGAAGGATACGTCGACCGCATCCTCTTCACCTTGGCACCGTCTATAGAAGAGCACCGACCCTCCGAATATTGGTGAATACTTGGACATCCACTTGCACCTCCTCATCCGTTTGACTTTCCGTGGATCAAGACCGTTGGCGTCCTTTTCCTCTCGGCGGCAACTCTAGCTTGCTTATCGTTCTACATTAATTTGGTATAAGAGTATGGTTGTTGTGCACTCGGGATGCAAACTCGATGAAGTTGAGCTCTTTTTCACCTCGGGAGAATGATGCGGATATCTGACGGTGGACGTTAGTAAAAGGAAATGACGAAGATCGACAGCCGAGATCCCTCCATTTTTATCTTAGTTTATTAATTGTATTTTTGATTTAATTATATATTTCATTTTTACCCTTACCTAAGGGTCTTGTCTTAAGTAAGCCCAAGGGGCAAAATTGTCTTTTAGTTTCTTTTTAGGCCTATATATAGAGACCCTTGCTCTTGTATTAGATAATGATGGATTATTAATAAAAAATTTTATGTATTCTTGTTCTTTGAGAAAAACTTTGATGAGATCCCTATGTGAGGGAAGTTAGTATCCACTAGCTGCAGGATGTGTCCGGGCTCGTGGTTTGAAGACCCTAGTTGGGGGCAGCGTAATACCCACCAACTACAAGATGTGTCCGGGCTCATGGTTTTATCTTTCTTTTACTACACTTCTTTCTCCTTCCTAATTCCCCTTCTTCTTTCTTTTAGCCGCCTCCTTAACCCCCTCTTTCTCCCCTAGTCGATTCTCTGTTGACTGTCGGCCAAACCCTCCATAACTATCGGCCAAACCCTCCATAACTGTCGGCCAAGCCTCCCCACTTCCCCTCCTTTCACTACCATCGGCCCCTCCATCTTGCCCCTTAAACTGCTTATTTTCACAACCTTTCCATCACCCCAACCGAGAACCCCACCATCACTCCCAAGCCAAACAGACCACCCCTTCATTGGCTCCACAAATTTAGTTTTGCATTCAAAGCCCTTCTCTTAAGTTGGCAATGAATTCAAATTCAAACTTTAAATCAAATTGAATTTGAATTTGTTTCCTAATTAAGGATTCCTATTTTAAGAAAGTAAGTCTTTCCTATTCTAGCCCCCTTAATTTAGTAACAAATTTGAATTCAAAATTCAAATTAATTTGAACTCAAAATTCAAATTAATTTGAATTTGAATTTGTTTCCTAAATAATAATCTCTATTTTAGAAAAGTTACTTAAATTAGATCTAATTAAATTTCTAATTGGATTTGATTTAAATTAATTTTCTTAATTAGTAAATCTCTTTTATGAAACCATCAAAATCTCTCAAATCTGAAATTAAAATCAGATTTAATTCCCTATTCACATTTATTGCTTGGGCCCACATACTTTGTATGTGGACACTTCTTCTCCCTCTCCATATGGCCGACCCCCCTCTCTCCCTTTCTATATAATTAATGCCCCTCCATTAATTCTCTCAATTAAATCCAATCTCCTCCCATAAATTAGCCGCCCCCTCATTTATTTTCTTTAGTTATCCAGAGGTTTGAAATTCAAAAATCCCTCCTAATTCCTAACCCATAAAATCTGAAATAAATTTCAGATTTACAACCCTAATCCCTCATCAAACCTAAAATCTGAAACATAATTTCTTCCCATCTCCTTACCCTAGCCGGCCCATCTCCTCTCCTTCCTCCACTTGTTTACTCTCCCAACTCCCGTCCCTTTGCTGTAAACATAATTTTCCTACAGCTTCCTTGTTGTCCAGAAAATTTTGGGTGCTGTAGTGTGTTGTCTCTCCTTCCAAAACCTTGGATATTGCTGCCCCAATCATCCTACGTGCTGTCCCAAGGTTCCAATTGTAGTTTGTTGCTGTCCAGCCATCCTAAGAGCCACAAATTGTTGTATAGAATCTCCGATACGCCATAAAACAGTCTTTCCTCATGTATGGCGGACCTAGAGCTTGACCACTGTTTCGTCTAAGTCCCCAAGGTTTGACGGACATTCTACAATCTCCGTTTTTCGATCTCAACCTAGAAGTTGATGGCACCGTCGAAGGATATGTCGACCACATCCTCTTCACCTTGGCACCATCTATAGAAGAGCACCTACCCTTCGGACATTGACAAATACTTGGACATCCACCCGCACCTCCTCCTCCGGCTGACTTTCCGTGGATAAAGATTGTTGGCATCCTTTTCCTCTCGGCGGCAACTCTAGCTTGCCTCTAGTTCTACATTAGTTATGGTCTCTCCCATCTTATGTAAAAGTTCAATGTTATATGGAATGTAAGTTTGATGGCCTAGTTTAGTTATTTTATTTATCAGTTTCCAAGACCAACAAAGTTCATGATGTTGATAGAAACTTGAATTCTGACAACAGGTTTATTATGAGCAGTTGATTCCTTACATTCTAGTATTCTGCTGATTATTCTGTGTTATTCGTTCCAAATTTGCTTGTGGGCAACATCTTGACCCATAAGGCTAACTAAGATATTTTAGAGCAAAAAAAGATGAGGTGGGCAAGTAAGAAGAAGAATCTCTGAAGCTATGTTTCCTTTTTATGAACAATTTTGATATGGAGTCTAAAAAATGCCCTGACACCGTATTTGTAGGGTTGGAAAGGTTATATGAGAAGCTACATATTACGAATGATAAAATTACATGATTTGATTATTATAGACATGTTGACATGACTTTAGTTATTACATGTGGACAATCATTTTTGATATGGCCCTGGAATGACTTTTGCGAGCACCTTTGACGAGTGCCTTCGATAAGTCATCTGGCTGAGTAGTTGGTTGAATTGGTAAATTCGTTATTGTTGAGTGATTGTTTTTTGCTTACTTGATGAGTGATTTTTTTGTTCAAGGTGAGTTCCTTTGGTGTAAATCATCTCTAGGGCGAGTGGCTTTATTGGTTGAATG